ATGAGAAGAGTATAAAGCATCTTCCTAACGGGTGTGTTTGCTATACAAACATAACGGACATGAAGTGGGGCAGAAACCCAGAACTCGGCATTCAAGGATACCCAGGAGAGCTGTCCATGTTTTAAAGAGCTGTGTTTTGTTTTGTTTTGTTTTGCATTTGAAGAGCAGAGAAGGGACCTTTCTGCTGCGCTGACGCATTTCTTACACTGGGCCATTTAAGACCCCAAGGGAAACAGCCTTCCTGGAGCGTGCATTGTCTGGAGGTTCCAGGGACAGGGACAGGGCAGCCTCCCAGAGCTGAGCAAGAGCTCAAGGCACAAATGAGAGATTTGCTACACCATGAAAAGTCAACAACTTAGCCACCACTTTCCCGCAACGGACCACGAAACAAATACCTCAGCAGGCCCTGCGAGAGTGCTAGAGCTGAGGTGCACACACTGCGGCGTCTGTAGTTAGGGCAGGTGGGATGGAGACTCCTCTAGTGCGCACACCTGAGCCTGCCCACACACAGGGGAGCAGCATCTCATATGACATCTGGCAGGAACTTCAGTTGTGTAAAGGGAGCCTTGAAGATATGTGCAAAAGGTGCTACCCCAATTTGGTGAAACTGACATTGGGCACATCCTGGGCTTAGGAGAAGCGGCCGATGGTCCTGGCCTGCAGTGACACACAGTCCCCACCGCCCCCAGCACCCCCTCTCCTCTTCACCTCTTCCTGCCGGCCATGTGGAAGCCGCTTCCTCAGAGAGACCCTACCAGATGCAGATGGAAACAGATGCATCAAAGCAAGCCTCGATGAAACCGTGACCTCCTAAGGTCTGTCTCCTCTGAACTTGCACCTGTGACTCTCTGTGTTTGGTTCCAAGCACTTCCCACCTCGAACTCCCATTTTCAAACCACTGTAGCTCTGGGCACTTTCGATACTTACCAGCTGTATACACGATGGAGGGTTTTTTGGTCCTGATCCAGTGGCCACACCTGTCTCTGGAATGTCTCACTCAACTCCAGTTTTAAAATGGATTCATTGTTTCAACCCAGCAAGCCCAATGCACCCAGCTAAGACTGGCTTGACCGACAGCCTGGCCTTTGGTGGGGGGCTTCCTGGGGCCTGGGAAAAGCTGGCTACCTTCAACAGCTGGTACCTCTTCAACAGTGTAGCCTTTTGAAATGCAGATGCCACCAGGAGAACGTGCCAGGTGCCCACAGCTCACCACCTATGGATGCCATGGCTCTGGGCAGCTTTCAAGGCAGGTTCCTGTGGTCTCCTCAGCTGTCTGAGGGGTTAACAGCAAATCAGCCTCCATTTTAAAATGAAAGCACCAGCCTCCAGATGTAGGGCCTGCAGGGTGTTGCTAGCCGCTGGGCCCCAGGCACGGTGCCCTTTCTCCACCTCCTGCAGCCTCCCTGTTGTTTAGAGACACTTACACCTGGTGAGTGCAAGGACAGGTGACCCAGGGGGCTGCAGCCTTGTCCTCAGCTCCCATCTCCTGGACTGCCAGCCTCGCCCTCTGCAATTAGCATGGTTGGCCTGATGCAGGGGTCCTAAGGGATTACTTTTTAGACCTTCTTTCATGTTCAGAACAGTGGTATAGATTCAGGAGAGGCAAGGAAATTATGCTGTCCGTAGAAGTCACCCATGAAGACTGATGCCACCACCTGAGGGCTCGTGATGATTAGAAAGTGTCCACGGGAACCTCTCATCCACAGGAGGTTTGTCTCAACACTGCTCATTTTTAGGCACTGGCATTGCCAAGCATGGAGAAGTATCCGCTCTTCTCATGTTAAAAGTGGCCCAGCTTCTCTTAACTCGGTCCAAGCTGACGTGTTCAGTCGCACTGGAACTTCTTACCAATCAAATATTTGCATGGAGCAAAGGGGGCTGTGCACACCTCCCTAATGGCAGGGATGATGGCAGCTGTCATTCAAGCCTACCTTCAGACGTCACAGTCTGGAAGTGAAATGTCCACAAATATCTGCGGCAGAAACGGCTGTAAGGACCACCCAGCTGTGAGGCAGCTTTACAGAGCAAGGAAGGGTTGTGGCAAATAAATGATTAACCTGCCTCCACTGTGCTGAGGGCAACCAAGGCCATCTCACCAAAGGATTACTCGATGCCATTAAATCATCCCGTGAACTTCCTGCTTCCGAGTCCATGGCCTTTGCCCAGGGCATGTACTCCTCTGAGAGGCCTTCTGCCTAGAAAGATCTAAGACTGGCTTCTAACGGTTGAGGTCTAGGTTTTTGCTGGGATTTACATATTTTCAAGTGCCATTTTGACAGCATTCAGGAAAACGGTCCTTGACCCCATAGACTAGGGTAAGAATAAAGGCAATAAATTTGGTCTGACTCAGAATATAGGAGATCCATATATTTCTCTGGAAACCACAGTACGCACTAAAATGTGAAATTGAAGGTTTTGTTAAAAAGAAAAAGATAATGAGCTTCATGCTTTGTTTAATTACATAATGATTTCCATTACACTATTTCTGTGAAATGCAGCAGGTTCTTAAACGTTATTTCAGTGGCATGGGCTGGAAGCTTATCACAAAAAGCCATGTGTGTGGCCTTCTTATTAGAACTGAAAGAGAGAGGCTGGTGCCCAAGGCTGCTGCCTGCTCCACCTTTGCCAGCTCTGGACATCTGAGGACGTCCCTGCAGATCTGGAATGGGGCCATCAACTGACCATTTGCTTCTCAGAATTTCAGTTTGAGACATGAGAGGTATAATCAGTTACTTTTCTCCCCACAGAGAACCCCCTTTTGTGAGGGGAGGGGAGCTATGGAATGTGGTTCAGCTGAAACACATACAACTGCATCCTTTTGGAGTCCTTTGCCAACAAAAACAGACCAACAGACCAGATCGTGTCCATGTTCAATGTCATGTCTTGGTGGACGCAGCTGATGACCTCAAGTACATGAGTGGTCTCATGGCTATTAGATGGACTATTTGCAAAAAAAAAAAAAAAAAAAGGAGAAGAAATAATTGATTTTTACATCATAGACAGCAAACTAAAACCTGGGGAGGGGGTCAGGTTTTTTTTTTTTTTAAGTTTGCTAGTTGGGTCAAATGTGAGAAGAAGGGAGTCTACCTGCCACCTCTTCTCTTGCCCCTCTTCCGCCCACATCCAGCATTAAAAATCCATTCGTTTAATGAACGGATAAAGTGCCACGCAAACTGGCGCACAAGCAGGTCCCCAGCCCACGCACCCTGGCTCCTAGGAAAAGTGGTGACCCGGGTGCGGGGGGCATGCTGCAGGCCTGGGACATAGTCGGGCACCTTCCCTGGACCCCCAGGCCTTGGCTCTGCCTCAAGTCAGAGAGGGTCAGCCTTCAGGCCCTGGAGAGGAGCAACTGGCCAATCGTTTCGCAATAAAATCACTCACTTTTGGCAACTTCACTTTTTTTAAGGCACAGTCAATTCCTTTTTCGTGTACCTCACAAAAGATGAAGACCATGTAGTACTCTTTTTGGTAAGATTACAGTGTTCATGTTAAATATCACTATTTTTTCTACATTGTGTGGTAAAAAGAACTATGTTAATAGCTATATCTTAAATACTGTGATTTGAGTTTTTTAAAAATATCCTAATACAAATATTTTACTAACTTACAATCATTCATCTAATAACAAATATTTGGATTCTTCTGAAATCAGTGTTGACTCATATTCTTAAAAGCCTGGCTCTTGACCCTATTGGAAACACAAAGGAAGCTGAAATCAAACAACTAAAATACACTGCGCACACGTGTGTATGCACATGTACACACGTTTTCATTTCTCTTGAGCCACGCAGAATTTACTTTCAATGTGGAAATCTCTTCCCATTACCACGCTGTATATGCACAGAGCACAAGAGAGGCTATCTTTAGAAACTTCCACCAGCGAGGCCTTGGACTGCAGGTTAGAGGCCGAGTTCATACAACAGTGTTTCGCTAAAGACCCTTCACTGTTCCTGTTTAGTAAATAGCTGTCTGCTCTTCAGGGAACCGTTACCTATGGGTTATTACCAAAGAACTTTGGCAATTGGAAATGTCCTGTTGGAAATTCTTTGCACGTGCCAGTTCTCTGGCATCCTCCAGGTGGCCCAACCCAAAGCATAAAGCAGAAACCACAGACCCCGTGAGTCTCCCCATACCCTGTTTCCAATACCTTGGCAAAACTTCTCGGTACATATTGGTTACATCCTCTGGGATCCATAATGCCATTAGGCTAAAACCCTAGGGGAGAGGGCTGACAGACACACACGCGACAATGGAGCAGATCCCCGAGCAAGGACTGGGCCCAGTCTCTCCATGTGTGCTCTATTAGTGAGTGCCTTATACTCTCAGTATTTTGGGGCTTACAGCTTCTTATTTGTGCTACACAGGTGCAGTTCCAAAGTAGGAACTGCCACACAGGCCCCAGCATCCTCTCTCCAACTTCATACCTCTCTCCTGGTGGGGGGAGCGGGCATCCAGGACCTCCGAATCAAGGGTGTGCAGAGAAGGGTGAAAGTAATTTTTCTAGTCACATGAACTGATGGGTTCCAGGCAATTAGAAAATGGCTATAAAATAACCTTAATTTTGGGTCTTCATTTTCCTATTAGGAGACTGAACTGACCACAGGTATTGATTTATATCCTGAATATATGGGAACTTCTGTGTTTGGGATGTCCTACTGTAAGACTGATGAATGTACAGAGTTAATTTCAGGGTACAGTTTTGCCTTAATGGTTTTAAAAAATAAACTATTTTTTAAAATTTTTTGGTGAGTTTTGAGTGATGCTGCGAGACGGACTGTTTGGTCTAAAAGAACCAAGTCCTCAGCTGTGGGGTCCGCCCTCCGCCAGAACAGTCCCTGCGCCCCTCATGGAGGCTGTCTCCACCTGCAGAATCCCTTTTGTGTCCTTCAGCGTACAGAATGGATTGAGTACAATGTGGCTCCAGAACACGACATCCTTTTGTCTGAAGTCACATACAACAGGAACTTTTAAAGCAGTGGGCATCTTAAAATCCATCAGTGTACAAGTCAGTAAAAACTCTTTATTCATTCCTTCATGTGACAGTTGGCCTTGAGTAGTTACAAAGACAGAGCAGTTCCTGCCTCTCCGAACTCTAAGCAGACATTCCAGAGCTCACAGATCAATGTCCCACCAGCTGCTACCCTGGAAGCTTCAAGGAGATGGGGAGCCTGGAGGAGGGGGTGCTGCAGGAACCCCTGGCAGGCAATGGGGTCAGGCTTCACAGGCACCCAGGGCTGAGTTTGAGATGGCAGGGGGCAAGCAGACAGGCAGGCAGCGGGATGGTCTTGAGGTGTGGGGTGAGGGCAGGAAGCCCACGGCATTCCTGACTTGGGGTCGGGGAAGACAGAATGGAGGGGCCAGAGCTGAAGCCAGAGCCTGAGGGAACTGGCAAGGCTAGAAGCCAGCACTCAGCTTCCCAGGAGACCCCAACCACTGCCGGGTCAAGTGCCCAGGGAGAATGTCGGGTATCCAAATGTTTCAGTGGAAGATTCCTTTCCATACATGAGCTGGTTATTTGGGTTTTTAATTATAAACATAATACATGGTCAAGGTTAAAAACATTTTCCAAGCATCACATAAGGATATGAAGTAAAAATTCTATCCCCCTCTAGACCTTCCAGACTGGCTCCAGAAGGCAGCTGCTGTCAGTGATTTTCCTTACAGAGAGACCATTGCAGCCACCTACCATGCATCATGGCCCCGATACAGTGTGGCATCTCCCCTGACATGCACCTGCACGTGGCCTCTTAGGAGCTGCCCCACTGAAGGAGGTCATCCCTCTCAGTCACATCTGAGCAGCACTCATTCAGGCCTGGGCCCTGAGGGGCATGTGGGGACACCTGGCCAGGTTCCTGGCTGTGTCTTGTCTGGCATCTGCCTTTGGGCTACCCTCTTGCTACAGCTCCCTGGGCCTGTGGCTGCTCCAAACTGGACTCCAGCTCCCCTGGGCTGCAGTGCTGCTCCCAGTGGTCCAGAAACAAGGCCAGGCATGGCAGCTCCCAGCTCGGCAGCATCCCCGGCGCAGGCTGGCCCAGGAGCTCTGTGCAGGGTGCTGCCCGATGACCCAGCCCTGGCTGCACTCACGTCCGAGAACTGGGCTGGCTGGGGGTCCTCTTTGATGGAGCTTTCCTTTTCTCCAAGTCTTGCCGAATTTCCTGAGGAAAAGCACTGATGTTCTCCTGGACACAAGGGAGGCAGAATCTCTTGGAGTAGAATAAGCTGCACTCCTGAAAGGGGACAAGGATGGAGACTGAGTATCCTGGGAACACGGTGCAGCTCCTCCCAGGGTCCAGCCCTTACCACACTTGAGGAGCTGGGCTAGGGCTCCAGCATGCACAGTGTGGGCAGGTGGCCAGAGGTAGACCAGCAAGACGGAGAGCCAGGCCTGAGGGCCTGGCAGGGTGTCCAGGAGAAAAGCAATGCAGGCCTGGGCTACCCTGGGTGGGAACAGCTGGGATGAGACAGAAAGGCTCTGGGGCCTGCTCTGCTCCATCACAGGGCAGCGATAATAATGGAAAGCTGGAGGACAGGCCATGCCCAGAAAATCCCAGAGTCCTCCCCTCCCAGCTATCACAGCAGGAACAGTGGCCACCTGGTGCTGGGAGCGGCAGGGGACAGGAAGGACAGCCCCACAGACCAAAGAGGCCATGGACGAACCAGCTAGTCTGGGCAGGAGGCCAGAACTGTCCAGCCATGTCCTCTCTCCTCTCTCTTACACACTAGAACTCCCGAGATTCATCACGGTGCACAGCACATGGCTAAGGATGACATTCCCCAGCCCCCTCTGTAACTGGGCATGTGAGTCAGGCTGCTCGGGGTGTCAGCAACTGTGTGTGCCACCTCCTGCTCATGCCCTTTGAAGGAATGGACTGTGCTCTCACATCTCTTCCCGCTGCCTGGGATGCAGATACAATGGTGGGAGCTGCCACAGCCAAAAGGGACCCAAATGGAGACTCTGCTGAAGACAACAGGGGTGCCCTTCCAGCCAAGGCCACCATTATAAGGGAGAAAATGAGTAAATATTGGCTTTACTCAGGCCACTCTTATTTTTGGTGTCTGTCTGTTCTTAAAGCTTAGTGTGCTCGCAAACATAAGGCTGCCCTCCTGCAGGTCTTAGAAAAGACCCTTTGCCATGCAGATCGCTCACTAACAACTTACTGTTTTAACAAAGAAAGCTGCAGACTCGTGGTACCTGCGTGGGCCCCCCACCCCGCCACCCCGCTGCTCACGAAGAGCAGCCCAAGGCCAAGGTGTTGCATTCAAGACCTCCACCTCCTCACCTGGCCCACACACCTCTGCAGTCTTCCTTTCCCAGCTTCTCCTGGACTGCCAGCTCCTCCATAAGCCTCAGATACTCCCATGCCACACTGCGGAGGTTCCTCCCACCCTGGCCCATCTCGTCCCCCTGGCTGTTGATACAGCTCCCCTTTGTGCGTGTCGCCCTGTGGCAGATGCTCAGGGACTTCTCAGACTCCAGGGTCACTCTGAGTACACTGGTCACGCTGGAAAAGCCACACTGCTCCACTTCCATCCGTCCTTGGGTTTTCAGCTACCCAGGTGAACCTGGCCCACCCAGCCTCTCTGAAGCTCAGTTCCCTCATCTATAAAATGGGTGGAATATAATACTGCTTTACCTAACTAAGTTAGGGGCAGGACTGAATGAAGCCTCCGCAGGAAAACAGGTCCCAAGCACAGGACCTGGCACACAACAAGTGCTCAAGAAAGGACAGTCCCTTCTCCTGGGAGATCCCTCCAAGAACATCTAGAAAGTAAGTCACCATCCTGGTGAGAGGGAGCACAAGGACTGTCTGCACGGTTGGTGGGAAGGAGAGGAACCCTGAGGGGCCACTGGGGTGGGTGCAGAGCCACCAAGAACCTACTTCCATTCCTACACCAGGCTGAGACCCTCTAACTGACCCTAGCTTGCCCTCTCACCTCTCCCTTTCATCAGCTGGGGGGCCCCATCTATAATGGGGTGAACCAGCTGGTCCCTCCCTCTCAGTCCTCCCTACCCAGTGAGAGCTCCAGGATAACCACAGCAAGGACAGGCGGCCCCAGCCCACGCTGCTTACCTACCGGGCCCACACACACCAGCCTGCTGCACAAACTGCAGCGTGAGCCGAGGACCAGGAATCTGTCCTTGTGGGAGGTGAAGGGATCCTTCATGACATAGCTTTCCTCCAGGAGGCTGCAGGAGAGTGATGCCAGCGTCAGAACAACCCAAATCTCTGCTGTCGGAAAATCAGCCATGAGCTATGGCCGGGCAGCAGCCGCCTGGACCTCCGCAGGGCCTGTACACCTGCATGGGCTCATCAGGGCAGGAGACTAGGCCACCCGTGCTGCAGGGCAGTGACAGAAAGGATCAGCAATTGGGGGCCACACTGGCATTGAAATTGAACCTGCTCTCACCTCTGTAACAGCCATGGTAGAGAGAACCCCTTGTTTTCAGCCAAAAGCAGGGCTGCTGCAACATGGGTCCCCAGACCCTGACTGGTTCACCGGGGTGCGGGCACAAGGCTGCCATCTGAATACCCCAGGCCTCCCTACCCCCAAGCCACACCCTCACAGCCGCTGGCAGCCAGCTGGCCTCACGCTACACATCACAATGAGACCACAGGGTGACATGATGACACTCAGGCTCCTGGTCAGCAGAGGGACCACAGCCAGAAGGAAAAAGCCATGCTCCCTGCCGCCCCACTGCATCCCATGTGAGTAACACACCAGCTGGCTCTCCAACAAAGTGGCATTTGATGAAGGACAAGCTGGAGGTCAAGAGATAAGCCCCTGGACCCACTGGCTCTAGTCCAGTCTGCAAGGGAGAAACGCCTTCCATTAAGAAAGTGTCACGGCAAGGGCGCAGCCCCAAAGTGGGAGGCCACCACAGGCCCCCCAGCTGCTGAGCTGCTCCCCCACAGCTAGAGCAGGTGTTGGACTCTGGGCTGTGTGGAGGAAGGTTCTGGAAGAGTCAGACCCCAAGCCTTGCCCAGGCCTCCAGAGATTACACCGGAAGCATCCAGAGCCTGGCCAGGCTGGGGCCTAAAGCTCCACACCCGAGCCAGTTGTCAGACCCAGGCGTAGCACCCACCAACCAGCACTGGGCACAGGCCTCCCTGGCTCTGGCCCAAAAGGCATGGACTCACACCATCGACTGGGTGTTGGGGGGCTTCTGTCCCACATAGCTGTACGGAGCTGTCAAGGCACAGAGTTCACACTCAAACACTCCCAGAGGCCGGCACTCTGCATGGGACGCCATCTGCAAGATCAAGAGATGGGGTGTCCCTGGGTCACAGGCTTTCTCAGAAATCCTGCCCCTTTCCCAGCTATGAAGACCCTAATGATACAGTCCTAGGAGTTTCCTGCCTCCCCACCGTACCCTTCTCTCTATCCCCAGCTGAAACAGGTTTTCACCGGTGCCCAGAGTGACAGGATTTGCTGTCTATATTCCAGTGGTTTAAGGTTTTTGTACTACTAGAGAGAAGGATCCAGACAGCATCCAGCCAGAGCAGCCATCTCTTCCTCCAGGTCTGCACCACAGTAAACGCTTTCTAGTCTCCCGCTCTGCCCCATTCTTAACCACAAGCCCCCAGTGAGCGCTGGTGGAGAAGAGGCCAGAGTGGGTGCAAACTCTCCTGTTTCTGCTGCTCCCAGCTGCTCTATGCCCTCACACTAGTCCACACGTGGTATACAGCATTTCATTAAAACGGTTTTCTTTTTTTTTTTTTTTTTTTTTGAGACGGAGTCTCGCTCTGTCACCCAGGCTGGAGTGCAGTGGCCAGATCTCAGCTCACTGCAAGCTCCGCCTCCCGGGTTTAGCCATTCTCCTGGCTCAGCCTCCCGAGTAGCTGGGACTACAGGCGCCCGCCACTTCGCCCAGCTAGTTTTTGTATTTTTTTTAGTAGAGACGGGGTTTCACCGTGTTAGCCAAGATGGTCTCGATCTCCTGACCTCGTGATCCGCCCGTCTCGGCCTCCCAAAGTGCTGGGATTACAGGCTTGAGCCACCGCGCCCGGCCTAAAACGGTTTTCTTATCTGCTTGTATGGAACCCCCTTCTCATGTTCATGGTTGGGTCTTGGAGGCCTCTCTTTCCTTAGATTTCTGGCTAAATGGCTGCCATCTGATGGGTTCATCAAAAGTTACGATTTTGCTGATTACCCAGTTCCTTGACTATGGAATCAAGTACGACAGTATCAGCTGGCCCCTAGCTCTTGGCTGTGAACTCCCCTCGCCTGAACTGAGCGTGATGTATAAAGGCATATCAAATGCGATGGAATTCCCCGCTGGGTGACCCCAGATGCAACTCCGGGAAGCATGGGTTGCCAATGACTTTAAAAGTTACAATCTTCCCAGGTGCGGTTGCTCATGCCTGTAATCCCAGCACTCTGGGAGGCAAAGGCGGGCGGATTACCTAAGGTCAGGAGTTCGAGATCAACCTGGCCAAAATGGTGAAACCCCATCTCTACTAGAAGTACAAAAATTAGCCGAGCATAGTGGTGGGCGCCTGCAATCCCAGCTACTTAGGAAGCTGAGGCAGGGGTATCACTTGAACCCAGGAGGCGGAAGTTACAGTGAGCAGAGATTGTGCCACTGAACTCCAGCTGGACTACAGAGCGAAACTCCTTCTCAGCTGCGGTGAGCCGAGATCGCGCCACTGCATTCCAGCCCGGGCGACAGAGTGAGACTCTGTCTCAAAACAAAACAAAACAAAAGTTACGATCCCGTCGCTGGTGTGCGTGAACCTGATCCCGCTTCTCTTCTGCACACCGGCGCGTCCTAAACCCGGGCCGAGGTTCCTGGGGGCGGCGCCTGTGAGCAGGGACGGCTGAGCTGGTCCGGGGGTTGCTGCTGGTCCCCGCGAGCCTCCGCGTGCCCTCTCTCGCCCCAGCGCTGCCTGAGGTCAGGGGGACAGTTCCGTGAGGCCCACACCCCGCTCCTCGGTCCCGTCCCCAAAGCTGAGAGCTGCAGAGCCGACCCCTGGCGCTTAGAACCCAGCAGGCCACGCCGGCGCGGAACTCAGTCCCGGCGAGCGGGAGGCGCCCTGAAACAGCGCAGGGCCGACCCACAGCGCGCTCGCCCCCGCCAGGCCGCCTCCTGGAACTCACCACCGCCAGCGCCGCACGGCTTCGCGTCCAACGCGCCTGCGCGGCCCCACCCCACGGCGGCCCGACCAACCCCGGTGCAGTCGTAGACGCAGACGCAGGCGCGGAGCGGCAGGCAGAACCTCGAGGTGGTTTTCCGCCTCCGCCTTGCTTTTCTGGTAGGGCGGTCCCCTGCGCGGTTTCTGGCTCTAAGCTTCGAGGCCGTCTGCGGGGCTGGGCTCCGTGCTGAGGGCCATCGCGTCTGGCCGTGCGCTGCGGGAGCGCGCGGGCCTGGCCTGCTGTCCTGGCCGCTGCGAGGCGCTCAGCTTCTTTCTGAGTGTTCCACCGGGTTCGACAGGGTCGAGGTCGCCGGCGCGAGGCCCCCGGATAGCTGAGGGACGCGAGGGCGCCTCCAGTCTCCCACCCGCTCTCCGGCGCTGCGGGCTAGGCTGCCCGTCTATCCCACGGGACGTCTGCCCCCGTACGCAGGAGGGGATGTGTCGGCAAACCGGGGTCTCAGGACCTATCTTTGCTCCTCCAAAGCCCACGTGGCCTGCGGCGCCCCTCGGGTCTGCGCCGCGTTCTCCTTTAGCCTCCCGGGCCTCTCTGCTGCCCCTCGCCCCCAGGCACCAGGCACACCTGCTTGCCTCTGTTCCCGCCCGTGGCCTCTGACACACCGTGCCCTAGACCCAAAATGCCCGCCCTACTCCTGGAGCCTCCGGTGTGTGAGAGGCACCTTTCCCTGGGGCCAGGGGCCCGGACTCTGAAACCGGGCTGGCTTTGCCTGTGAGCCCCAGTCCTCCCAGCTGGAGTCCCTCGCCCCAGCCGCAGCGGGCCTTCACCTGTGCTTTGGGGACGACAGGGTGGCCGCCCTCCTTCCCCCAAAGATTTGAGGGTTTTGCTCCACGCGGGAGGTCTGCCTGTGCCAGCAGCCCGCAGCCTTTCACATGCTGTTGCGTTACAGGGCCCTCTGTGACCTTTCCCTATGTCGAGGGGTGCTTCGTCTCTGTTCCTGAGAGACCAGAATTTATTCTTGGCTTGTCAAGCCACATTTGTAGGAACGCTGCCAAGTTGCAGCAGGCTGGGGTCTGGGACTTGCTCCTTTGGCAAATTGCGAAGTAAGGATGTAGAAGGCATTTTAGCAGTAATGGAAACCAGAACCACTCTTAGACCTGGGCAAGAGGGGCCCCAGGAATTAGCAAGCAATTAGCAAGCAGCTGGATTTCGATGACCTCCCCTGTGCTTAGTGCAGTGGCATTCGATTCGTTGGATCGTTTCAAAGATGACATACTAGGTTGTTTTTGTTTTTGTTCCTAGGAACATCTTGAAGCATTTTGAATTTGACCTGTGACTACCCTCAGATACAATGATGGTAACTACCCCATAAGTGCCGTTAAAGCAATTTGACTTATGTTAGACAGGTTAACATTAGATGCATTAGAAGAGTTAAGTGAAATAGTGGGCAGCATTCAAAGAGCAAATCGTGGTCTTTGGCAGAAAACAGTTAATTTTGTATTTGAGCTGTCCAGTTATTACAATTAGAAAAAACTTTAAACTTTAAACCCAGAAAAAACTGGGTCTCGAGCTCCCTCATTCTGTAGTTCAGTGGGCAAGTGCATTTGACCCGACTGCAACCAGCCTCTATCAGTAAAAAGTAATCATGTGGACACCTGCTGACCCTTTTTCTCAATCCATTCAGAAGTCAGGTGGTTAAGAGAGGCACTATCTCAAGAACATGTGCCCCAGTCGGAAGCAGTGGGCCAGTGTGGGCCAGGCCACTCCCATGGCCTTCCCACCAGGGAAGTTAGAAAATCCCCATCTGACCTCCTTTTTTGTCGTTTGTTTTGAGATAGAGTTTCGCCCTGTTGCCCAGTCTGGAGTGCAGTGGCGAGATCTCGGCTCACTGCAACCTCTGTCTCCTGGGTTCAGGTGATTCTCCTACCTCAGTCTCTTGAGTACCTGGGACTACAGGTGCCCACCACCATACCCGGCTAATATTTGTATTTTTAGTAGATACAGGGTTTCGCCATGTTGGCCAGGCTGGTCTTGAACTCCTGACCTCAAGTGATCCACCCACCTCAGCCTCCCAAAGTGCTGGGATTACAGGTGTGAGCCACTGCGCCTAGCCCCCATGTGACCTTCTGACCCTTGCTAACTGTGTGAGGCCTTGGGTGAATCATGAGACCTTTTCGTCTTCCCACCTGGCAACAAGTGAGACAGAACTACATTCTGCCCAGGTCTAGGCGTCCCCTCGAAGGAAACGACGAAAGGAGTCTATGTGTGTCTGCAGGGGCCTAGTGTGGTATGGCTATTTCAGTGCAGCTGAAGATGACAGGGACACCGAAGTGGGTACAAAGCAGCCACCCATCTCATTTGGTTGTCCCCCTTTTCTAGGCCTCCACTTTGAGGGCAGGAGCTATATGTGTATATGCCCCTCACACAGAAATCACTGCAAGGCTCAAAGAAGAAATCTCACATTTAATTCTGATAAAGCTTAGTGGCATCTACATAAATGAACATGCTTCTGAGTGAAAATAGTACAGCTACCGGCCCTTGTTTCCCTGAAGTGATAAACCACATTTTCCTTATTCCTAAATAGTCTGGCACACCATAAATAACCAAATGCCCAAATCCTAGATGCATATGTTGCTATATTCAACATATGGACATATTTCAATGTGAACCCATATATACCTTTTTGTTGTTTAACAAAACATGTGTCTTGGTCAGAAAATGTTACTGAATTTTACTTTAACTACCAGTAGCTTTAAGAATAAATGAGAAGCACCACTTCTGCATTCCCAAGCATGAAGCAAGCCCTGGAACTCCCTATGAGGCCCTAAGCCCAGATGGACCAAGAGGAGGGGAGGCTCGGCAGCCCTGATCTACAAAGGGGCCTCCCAGCAAGGCCAAAGAGTTTGGGGCTCTGTCAGGAGCAAGAGGCCATCGGCTTCCAACGTGGGTCAAGCACAGAAACACCCAGACAATGTTCCACCCTGGCCAGGTCCCTCTCTCAAATCTGGTTCTCAAAATCAGTGGCTCTGCCTTCGCTAAATTGCAGGCACCAAAGAAACAGGGTTGCCTTTGTACAGGGAGTCACATAACTCCCCTCTAAAAGGAAATCAGTCCAGGAATCGCACACTGTGATCCTGCTGTCTCCCCAGATGCTACACCACACCAACTTTTACATTCCCAAGAGCAGAGGCCAAGATTGGGGATTCTTCCACATGTAGGGGATGTGCCTTGTGAAGGACATGAATAGAAAGCATGACTAAGCCACTGACACTCCCTAATTCCCTTAATCCCACAGACTGAGCATTTGGGGAAACACTTGCTTGTGACTCATGAAACCATCATCCATCAAACAACAAGGTAAACCATTTTCTTCCCGTTGATGTTTCTGGTCTTCAGCCCCAGATAACGGCGGCTGTTCTTCTCTGGCTGCCCATACAGCATGTCAGTAAAGAACTCAGGCTCATCTTTGGCCTTAGATTGTGAGGTCAGAAAGCTGAACATGGTTCTCAGCTTACGGCACAAATAGGTCATTGCTTCCACTTCATCTGATGGCTCCTCATACACAGGCTGCTTCATTTCCTCGTATGCAGACAGAATTACAGCCTGAAATAAGTTGATCAAGACACAGATCATCACCAGCATGAAAGATGAGAGGAACAGGACCCCCAGAATCCTGTTATTGGAAAATTCAGTGTTCTGGAAAGCTGAGACACAATAGGAAAACACTGTCTGAGTGGAATGAACCAAGTTACTGTAGTTCCATTCATGCTGACCAAACACCAGGTAACCAAAAGCCATATATACAAAGAAATACACAGACACAACAAATGCCATGTGGCAGATGCCAGGGAGGGCAGCCTGGATGGCCCTCTGAGCCAGGCGCACATCGTAGAAGAATCTGGAATACCTGAGGGTCTTCAAAATTGTCAGAAATAACAGGAAACCCAAAATTATCCTCATGATGTGATCTACCTGAGAAACTGCATGAAAGGGAATGAAGTCTTCAGGGTTCGACAAGTAAAACTGAATTATGCCAGTGGCCAGGAAATGTTTCCTGAGAAAGAGCACAATCAACACAGTAAATATGCATTTTAAAGCAAAGTTGAGCAAATTATACACACTTCTCACATAGGAGGCTCTTTCTTGCATAATGATATAACCCTCATCCACAACGTAGGCTAAGAAAAAAATGAGAATGGCCACATACAAGTATATTTCTGCTGAAGTTTTTCTGTCAAAATCAGCAAGTGAAAAAGAGTGTAGAGATATGCTTGTGTTGACAACTCCTAACTGAGAGACCTCAAATATGACTGAAATGCTACAGAACAGATTTACATCTGGATTAAAAGTCGTTAATTCCAAAACCACAGCCCATGTCTTCTCATCCAGCCAATTGCTTTCTTGAAGTTCTTTGAGTCTCTGTGTGGAATTAAACTGCTGCTGTTTTGGAAAAAAATAGAGTGCATATCCTCCAGATCCATAGGTGTGTAGTAGTCCATAGGAATAATACAACCATTGCTTTCCTTGAGGCTTATAAGTAAATCCATTGGTACTGTCATCTATAGCCTGCTTATGAACTTCATTCCAAAAGCCAGAATAGTTTTTTGTGTCTTCTGGGTCAATGCCATATTTGGGATGACAATGAATTTCTCTCCTGATGCTGTTTTGCACAAACTTTTCGGCAGGTAGACACATTTTTTCACTAGATTTTGCTCTCACTTGCCTCATCAATGGAAGGCCAAGGATTTTAGATGAGCTTTCGGGAAGAAATGTTGGATTCAGGTCATTGTGTAACAAAGGCAACAGCACGCTGTTTAGCCATCTATAGATGTCTTCTAGCTTAGTCACATTAGCAAGATCCATAGAGAACCGATCACGAATAAACTGGTTATAGTAAAAGCTGTCAGTGTGACGTAGTAGGACGATAAGGATCAACAGAAGGGCTAGAAAGATAAAGTGAGTTAGAATGTAACTCAGAAACAGGAGTGCTCTTCTC